CTGAAACTGGAGGGTCTTCAGCAGCGCTTCGATGTCTCCAGCACATCTGTTTTCAAGCAGAGGGCCCAGATCCACATGAGACAGGTGGGATGGGGATGAGGGGTCCTCCTGTGTACCCCTGGGCTGGGGAGCAGAGGCAGGGCTTTGGCTGGGATGCTGTGTCCTGTCTCAGGGACCTTCAAGTCACTGGTGCTCAGCTGAGGGTGTGTGATGGCTCTGGCCATTCCCTTTGGTCTGGAGCCCAAGCAGGGAGGGAGCCCATGGATGCTATGCTGGGATGCCAGGGACTTTGCCAGTGTGAAGGCTCATCTCAATGTGGCAGTGCCCCCTGCCCACCTCCATGGAGGGGGTCTCTTTGTGTGCCCCTGACTGCCTGCTTCTGCTCACAGCAAATGGACGATGCCGTGTACACATTCGAGACGCTGCTCCATCAGGAGGTGGGGAAGCTGCAGGGCAAAGACGACTTGTGCAAGTCCATCCAGCGCATCCTCGAGAGGGTGCTCAAGGTGAGGGCTGGGGGGGAAACAAGGCCTTTGGTGGCCTTTGGTGGCCTTCAGTGGCCTTGTTCCAATGGCCTGGGGAAGAGGCCAGGAGTGACCTTACCAATTTTAACAAAAGTCTTCTGGGGAAATACTTCTTTGTATTGAGGTTTTTCATGCATTTTAGTGGGATATGGGGCAGGGGAGTGGGAAATCACCTGGAGAAGCCAGGTCCCCTCTGACCACATGAATCACTGTAAAAGCCACCCAGGGGTCAGACTGGCCCAAAACCCCTTCTGCAGACAGTGATGGAGGAGCTGGCTCCTGCCTGGGCTCAGGCACCCGGGAACCTGCTGGAGAGGGATGCGAGGGGTAGGGGAACCTGCTCATACCCATGCAAATGGGTTTGGACTGGGGCAAACTGCAAGGGAGTGCCGCCAGCCCTCACTGACCTGAGGCTGCCATCTCACTCGCCCTGCAGAAATACGACTACGACAGCAGCACCGTGCGGAAGAAGTTCTTCAGGGAGGCCCTGCTGCAGATCACCATCCCCTTC